CATATTCTTAATGAATAAAAACATGTTGCCAATTAACACTGAGCTGCTCAGGAGAAGTAAAATCAACAAAGACTCCTTTCAGTACTAGAGCAGGGGTGTAAACCTGTCTCTTTACTGTTAAGGTTAATCTGATCAGGCTGAGGATATTTTGGAGCTTTTCTGCCTCTGGAGTCACCTGAAGGAGGCTTCAGGCAGTAGCAGTGATGTGCCAGGGAGCCTAACGGCAGCTTTTGCTCCCACACAAACTCCAGACAGGAAGACTCACACCCAACATCCTCCCCAACCCTTAGGCCCCTGGGAAGTGGCCTGGGGAAGACATCTGGCAGGCTGTTTACCTAATTCTCAGCAGGTCCCCTTGCCAGACTAGACATACCAGGCATACTTGTAATCTGTGGCCCATCCTCCTGTCTATGGTGGCCTGGTCTGGGCCAGAGCCGGAAATTTGGAGTCAGGGCTAAGAGTATCCAGTTTCAGTCTGGGCTGTCCCCTGGAACAGAGGAGATACAAAGACCCAAGGACTGTGAATACAGTCATTTTCCGCTAGGTGGCCTGAGAAGTAGAGAAAGCCAGTGCAAAGAAAGGAAGCAGGAAGTGTCTGTAGACAAGAGAAAATAGAGACAAGAGAGGGGCTTCCTGGGTCCCCTCACCTGACCCTCTCTGCTCCCTCTCTCCAATGCTCTCCCCTCCAGCCCTGGACCCCTGTCCACTGGAAATGGATGACTGAACACTCTCAGACCCCACGGAGCTCTCCTCCACCTGACCGGCCCTGCTGGACTTGGTTGAATGCTGGCTGGGATGGCGCTGATCTCAGCACAGTTTCACTCTTCTTGCCCCTGGTCATGAGGCACGTTCTACCTTGTGTTCCCAGCAACTAGACATACGCAACGTGTGAACAGATGTCACCTTCTCTGAAGGCATCTCAGGGAGACTGCTCATTCACTGGCTTCCCACACACCATGGGTATTCTTCATGAGTATTCCCTACTGCTGCTTCTGGACACCACTCCTCCTCCCTTGTAAACCCAAAAAGCACAAACAAAAAACCAACAACTCCTCTTTGACATCACAGTCATCCACCCATCTCAATCAATTTTTCCCCCTCCTAACATGGGCCCTCTTCAGCCCACGGTCTGATTCCATCCAGCAATAATTTCAGGGTTTCACGGAAGCATTTCAGGGTAAATTCAGGCATGGCCTGGCAAAAACTAAACTGTCAAGTTGAGGGTGACTGTATGGTTGAGACTAGATGTGCTAAACAAAGAGGGGACTTGAGTCAACCCTGCTGAGTTCGGCTCATGTAAGCAGCTAAAATAGAAGAGTCAGCTTTGAGAGGAGGAGTGCCTCAGTTCCCCACTAAAATCAAACTGAGTGGACATTACAGCTTTCGGTACCTAAGACAAGAACTTACTTTGCACTGTGAATAACACCCCAAGTACTTTCTATTCGATCAGCAGCAAGACAGAACAAGATCATCCATCTATCCCATAGTACAGAGCCAGGATAGGAAGATGCCTCAGGAATGATGATGGGGGTGCTGGTGGGAGTGATCTAGTCTCCTCCTGTAAGGCTCTCATGACCTCCGTGTAGTTTAAACATGTAAACCCTTCTGGGGAGATGTACTGCAAGGAAAGTTCCAATTATACACACATGTAGCTGCCTGCACCTCTCTTCAAACCCCTTTTATTTCTTGGTCCCTATGTAACATGACAGTTGTGCGTGTGGAAAATAATTTGGAAAGGGAGAGCTTCTTCCTACAGAACCAGAAAGCAAGTCAGCAGGGAGTGGATCCCCTGCCTACAGCTGAGGTTCCGGCAGGGGTGGAGGGAGGGAGGTTGCGGCGGGGAGTCAGCGGAGGTGGGCAGGGCACCTGCCCATCTTAGCAGGCACGGTGTAATTGCACGTGCTTTCCCACGGCCTTAGCACCATTCCTGAAAAAGTGGTGGGTTGGAATGGGTTGGCATTTGAGAATCAGCCACTCTGGTTCCCAATTGCTGCCCACTGCTTCTTGGGTGAGAGGAATCACACGGATGGTTCAGAGAAGACATTTCTCCCAGGTGGCCCTGACATTCACTTTTTTTTTTTTAATTATTTTTTTTTATTAGTTGGAGGTTAATTACCTTACAACATTGCAGTGGTTTTTGTCATACATTGAAATGAATTAGCCATGGATTTACATGTATTCCCCACCCTGATCCCCTCTCCCACCTCCCTCTCCACCCGATCCCTCTGGGTCTTCCCAGTGCACCAGGCCCGAGCACTTGTCTCATGCATCCAACCTGGGCTGGTGATCTGTTTCACCCTAGATAATATACATGTTTCAATGCTGTTCTCTTGAAACATCCCACCCTCGCCTTCTCCCAGAGTCCACAAGTCTGTTCTATACATCTGAGTCTCTTTTTCTGTTTTGCATATAGGGTTATCGTTACCATCTTTCTAAATTCCATATATATGTGTTAGTATACTGTAATGGTCTTTATCTTTCTGGCTTACTTCGCTCTGTATAATGGGCTCCAGTTTCATCCATCTCATTAGAACTGATTCAAATGAATTCTTTTTAATGGCTGAGTAATATTCCATGGTGTATATGTACCACAGCTTCCTCATCCATTCGTCTGCTGATGGGCATCTAGGTTGCTTCCATGTCCTGGCTATTATAAACAGTGCTGCGATGAACATTGGGGTGCACGTGTCTCTTTCAGATCTGGTTTCCTTGGTGTGTATGCCCAGAAGTGGGATTGCTGGGTCATATGGCAGTTCTATTTCCAGCTTTTTAAGAAATCTCCACACTGTTTTCCATAGTGGCTGTACTAGTTTGCATTCCCACCAACAGTGTAAGAGGGTTCCCTTTTCTCCACACCCTCTCCAGCATTTATTGCTTGTAGACTTTTGGATAGCAGCCATCCTGACTGGCGTGTAATGGTACCTCATTGTGGTTTTGATTTGCATTTCTCTGATAATGAGTGATGTTGAGCATCTTTTCATGTGTTTGTTAGCCATCTGTATGTCTTCCTTGGAGAAATGTCTGTTTAGTTCTTTGGCCCATTTTTTGATTGGGTCATTTATTTTTCTGGAGTTGAGCTGGAGGAGTTGCTTGTATATTTTTGAGATTAATCCTTTGTCTGTTGCTTCGTTTGCTATTATTTTCTCCCAATCTGAGGGCTGTCTTTTCACCTTGCTTATAGTTTCCTTTGTTGTGCAAAAGCTTTTAAGTTTCATTAGGTCCCATTTGTTTATTTTTGCTTTTATTTCTAAAATTCTGGGATGTGGGTCATAGAGGATCCTGCTGTGATTTATGCCGGAGAGTGTTTTGCCTATGTTCTCCTCTAGGAGTTTTCCCAGGTGGCCCTGACTGATATTACAGTTTACACGGGGCCAAGCAATATGCCCTCACCCTTGACCAAATTCAGGTACCTCCAGAGCACTCCAGTGACAGGTGAACACAGGTGTGCAGAGTCACACCCACAAACACACACACGCACACACTGTTCTTGCCCTGCCCTCCCCACCTGGAGCAGCTCCAGCCTGTGGTACAAAGAAGCCCTGGATGCTCACAGGAGGATGGGATGGCAGTGATGTTTCCTCTTGCTCATTGGTCTTGGTAGTTGCTAAACTCTCAAGCTCAAAACTTACATATCAAAATCAAACGGCAAAATTCTCTAAATCATGTACATCTTACTTTTCATGTCATTATATCATATGAATTATGTGCTGCTGTATAGCTCAAAAGCAGGTAACTGACCCATAAAATCATTAATGTTCCAACTGTCCATCTTAGGAAATACCAACCAAAGTAGAAACAATACTCTGCATGAACTTCCATTTTCAATTTGCATCCTCACCCAGACATCCAACCAAGCACATGAGCGTGTCTAAACCTATGCTGGTGGCCACACTGCAAGCTGACTTCAGATGAGCCACTACTAGGCCTGCCCTCACTGATCTTCTCCCAGACTCTGTGCCCTCACTTCCAAGTCACATCTCTCGGAAATTCCATGCCCTCTTTCTTCCCACTCCACTCCTCAATATGTCTGCTAACGAGAGGGCCTGGTCCCTTTTCCTGAAAAACGTACAGAGTTGTCAGCAAATATAACATGTCTGACTCCAACCAAATGACATCTTTCTGGCCTAAACTGTTTCTAGAAAGCTCGAGGCAGATTTATCAGACAGTTGCCAAAGTCTGTGCTTTACTCAGAAGCAGCAACACGTGGCCTGACTGAACCATTTCCAGCAAGACGCTCTAGTTATTCGTAAACCTGACAGATGAGGGGTCCATTCAGGCGAGGCTGGATGGGGAAAATGCCACTGTTGATGGGAGAAAGGGGAAACCAACAGGAGCAGCAAGACTCCCCTCCTCAAACAGCAGAGCGGGGGGACTAGACAGGGCCTCACAGTGGGTGCTTGGAAAGCTCGGTTTTATGTCCTATTCAAGAGCTTTTGACGAGTTAATTTTGATTTAAACTAATATCCTCCCAGTTTTAGATTAAAATAATCTACATAGCAATATTCATTTTATCAGTAGCATTGTTTATAATGTGAAAAGCTAGAAGTCTATGCAGGAGACAACATAGCGAAATAAAACAACTCCACTCAACGGACCATTAGGACATAATTAAACAAGGATTCTGAAGGAATCCTTGAAGGAAGGTTGTATTAAGGAAAATGCTTAGAATACAATGTTAAATCAAAAGGCAAAGGGAATAAAGGTGTGCATAATATATGTCATGATTTCACATTTTAAAATAAGTCTTAATGCAAAGAAAAATAGAGGCTGGGAGATAGTTCATCAAAATGTAAATGGTGGATACATTTAGGTGATCGGATTACAGTTTCTTTTTCTTTCTACATACCTCTATTTTCCAAATTTAACGAACATTACAACTTTTAACGACCTTATTTTGTTATAAATATGTATTTGAAGATATAAACCCTCTCAAACGCCGCACTATAAATATCCCAGGGAATCAAAAGATGCAGGTAAGAGAATTACTATATGAAACCAACCTGTGCATCAAAGGGAAGGCTGAAGTGAGTTAGAAGCTGTTCATCTGATGGAAGATGAGGAAAACCTGCAGTGACTTAGACGTGCCTGGAAGCCCTCTGGGAAAAAAAACACCACCATGGGAATTAGGCTGCCTTTCTCCTTTCTCCCTTCTGCTTTACCACAGGGAAACAAAGGGCCAAACAGCAGTTGTCTACTGAGAACTAGAAGCTGTACACTGAAAGGCTGCCTTCGCTCGGTGCATTTTTTACTTTGATATTTCCAGATTTGAAACTCTCAGGAGCTTAGAGTCAGACCTCGGGCACCTTTAATATCCTAAAAGAACTACAATTCCAGGAGAGGTGTTTAACCCATTAGAAGATTGCATTCCTGCACACTATCACCTCTCTGTGGCAAGGAAGCAACTTAATTTATTATTGCAAATCCAATGCCTAGCACAGGACTTCCTACCAAAGGGTAGGAAACATATTCGTTGAAAGAATGCTTTTAAAATACTATCTTTTCTTAGAAACGGGGTTAGCCTAGGCAGAAATTGAAATCAGTTCAAGGTTACCAAAAATTAATTATATTGTGGTATTTGGTTTTTAACTTCCTATGACTATATGTTATTTAGACAAAAAAAATTCACTATTTGAATTATTTAAGAATTGGTCAAATTAACGTGTCCTGTCATCTTTAACACAATGGCTTGCACACAAAAGAGAATGAAGCTGACGCCACCATCCAACTAGGGCAACTTCCGTGGACGACAGACAGACTGCAAAGGAAGCAACAACCTGTGGAACACCACCCCTGTAAACCCAAAATGGAGTGATGACAACAGACCCTAACCACTCCCAAGAAGCCTACCTGTGAGCCAGACATCTGGTTCCGGGACTGGAAGAAAAACAGCGGCAGCCGGTTTGCAACCTCCCAGCCGACAGCGAGACCATCATGGCGCCCAGTCTCCCATGATGCCTTGCTCTTAGGCCCTTCTAACAGGAGCCACCTGGAAGCCCAATTCAAAGGTGCTTTACTTCATTGGTTTCTAGCAATAGTTTGCGGGCTACACAGCTCAAAGCTTTAAGTGACCGTTTTCTATGCTGTCAGCTCTTATCAGCTTTCTGCCATCTCCTCAAAGAAGGGCTCTGTTGATTCTGCAGAATGAATATGAAATAAAGATATTATAAATGCTTTAAATAGGTGAAGTTCCAGCAGGTTTTGCACACTCTCTCATTTAGTATCAGACCCTCTAACTGTCAGAGAATCAGAATTGGGGGGCGGGGGGGAGACAGAAAAAAACCTTTACGGAAATAGGATTCTTGAGTTTAGCAAGAATTTTGAGTTTATACAGTAGGGTAGCTTCTCCTCTTCCTTCCTTTCTTTCTTTTTTTTTTTTTTTTTGCTTCTCCTCTTTTTAAGATGCTTTAAAACAATTCAACCTGAATGCAGAAGACAGAGTGGATAGTCTTTTAAGCATTCTCCATCTTTAAGAGGTTGGCCACTCATGAAACTCATGAGTTTCAGGAGGAAATTGTACCTTATAGTTTGATGGCCAATTCAATTCTAAAAACAAACATTTCTAAAACATCAGACACATATTTTCATACAGATGATGACCTGATAGCTTTCTCATCCACGTAAACCTACTGGTTGATTTTTATCTCCTAGTTATTAAGTACCTTCCACCCTTCCTCCAACTGTTTTGTTTCCTTGAATCCTTTCATTCAATCCAAGTCCCTGTGAACGCACACTGTGTCTTCTGCAATGAAGAGGGTTCTCTTCCCTTTAGATCATATAGTCCTTTAAAAAAGGAGGATTATTAACCACTATGTCTTGGTCAAATTCAACATGAGGACTTCCTTGGTGGTCCACTGCTTAAGAATTCTGCCAATGCAGGGGACACAGGTTTGATCCCTGGTCAGGGAGGATCCCACATGCTACAGGGCAACTAAGCCCATGCACCACAACTACTGAGCCAGTGCTTCTAGAGCCAGTGCTCTACAACAAGGGAAGCCACCACAATGAGAAGCCTGCATGCTGCAATAAAGAATAGCCCCTGCTTGTACAACTAGAGAAAGCCTTCAAGCAGCAATGAAGACCCAGTGCAGCCAAAAATAAATTAAAATTTTTTAAATTCCAATGTGGGAAATTACATTTTCCCTCTCCCCAATTTTCCCTGTCATTTTAATTAGAAGCACTATGTAATATCCCACTCAAAATAAAACCTGTTATAGAGAGGGCTGCCTCTAAGGGGCCTGCCTTTTCTAGTACAGAGGAGATGATGTTTCAGAGACGTGTGACTAATACTCCAGAGGCAGGAGCTGAGAACATTGGGATCCTTTGGGAGTAGAGGTAGCTCCAAAGGATCAAATTGATTTTTATTTTATGCCTGCGGTAGACAATAAGACAGATTTTTCCCTCTAGCGTTTTGCAGCATCTTCTGAAATTCAGAATCAAGGCAAGAGCTTCCTGGTGATACTGTGTGGATGACGCATTCCATGGAGCTGACTCTATGACATCATGTCATCCTGTTCTCAGTTAGAGCAGGCTGATGTGCCTGCCCCGCACACCCCAGCTCTGTGAGTCACTGTGTGATAGATGGTCCAGGAAATGTAAAACGATGCTCTTCTGAAAACTTACAATTGAAAAATTGAGGCTTCCGGCCAGGGAATGTAGAGAGAAAAAAGTAAATTCTCAGGAGGGGCAGGTTCTCATTTCTGTTTTTCTTTTCACTGTTGTTTAAGTATGAAATCCTACAAGGGACTGTAATTTATAAATAATTGTTGCTAGTGGTTTTTCTCATTGACGTTTTATTGCCTCAAAAATGAAGTTTAATTTCCCACTAACTAGAACTTTTTGTTCTGAACAGCTATGCCACCCCATATCCTAAGGAGTTTAATCATCAAAAATGACAGACTATCTATGTGTACATTGTGAACACCGAATACAATTGGCTGTATAAGCTCCACTTGTGCCTGAAGAATCCTGTAATACAAAACAATCTGATACAACAAACTTACAGTGGATTTGAATAATGATAAAACAAAATATCAAGGATAATCTACAAAGAAAAAGTTAAAATTTAGTCTTATCCAAATAGTTCCAATCCAAGGAGGGGGGGAATCACGTGATGGACCCCAAAACAGTGGGTTTTGAGAGGGTTTAAATTATGAATTTAAATTCCTTAATAGCTATCGGAATAGTCAAGTTGTCTATTTCATACTGGGCGAGTTGTGGTAGCTTGTGTTTTTCAAGGTATTGGTCCATTTCATTTAAATTGTCATATTTTTGTCATAATGTTCACTTATTACCTTTTTGATAGCCACAAGGTGCTTAATGATATTCCCTGTTTCATTCCTTCTATTTTGCATCTTCTCTGTTTTTTTTTTTCTTTGTTTATATCTTACTGGATATTTGTCAATTTTATTGGTCTTTTGAAAGAACTGATATTCTGTAATAACCTAAATGGGAATATTTAGGTTGTGGGAATTTGAAAAAGAATAGATACTTGTATATGTGTAACTGAATCACTCTGCTGTAACCTGAAACTAACAGAATATTATTAATCAATGATAATCCAATATAAAATAAATTATTTTTAATTAAAAAAAAGATGAACCAATTTTTGTTCCACTGATTTTCTCTACTTTTTTTAAAAATTTCATTGATATCTGGTCTTTATTATTTCCTCCTTTATGCTTGTTTCCCACTTATTTTGTTCTTTTTCTAGGTTCTTAAAATAAGAACTTAGATTATTTATTTGAGACTTTTCCTCTTTTCTAATGAAAGCATTTTAATGCTATAAATTTTCTTTTCAGTAGTGCTTTAGCTGAGTCCCACAAATTTTGATATAGTGAACATTCATTTTCATTCAGTTCAGTTTCTTTTTACTTCCATACAATCAATACCAATGGATTACTTAGAAATGTATTGTCTAGTTTCCAGGTACATGGAGATTTTGCTGTGATCCTTCTGTTAGTGATTTCTAGATTAATTCCACTGTGTTCAGAAAGTACATACTATATGACATCTGTTCTCTTAAAGTTTTATAGCCTAAGATGTGTTTTATTTTGGTATAGGTTCCATGAACACTTGAAAAGACTATATACACTGGTGTGGTTGGGTGAAGCTTTCTATAAATGTCAATTAAATTTTGTTGGCTGATAGTGTTGTTGAGTTTTTCTATATCCTTGCTAATTTTCTGTTTAGTTGTCCTATCAGTGTTAATAGAGGAATATTGAAGCTTTCCAACCATCATGGTGGACTTGTCCATTTCTCCTTTTAGTTTTATCAGTTTTTGCTTCATATATTTTGCAGCTCTATCATTTGATGCAGGCATCTTTAGGATTACTATCTCTTCTTGGTGTACTGACCTCTCATCATTATATAATATCCTTTTATGACATTTTATTTGCTCTAAAGCCTACTTTATATGATATTAATATAGCCACTCCTAACTTATTTTGAATAATGTTTACATAATATATCTTTTTACTTTCAACCTTTCTGTAGTGTTATATTTGAAGTGAGTTTCTTATAGATAGCATATGGTTGAGTCATGTTTTTTCTAAATGAACTCTGCCAATGTCAATCTGATAACTGATATTTTTAAACCCTTTACATTTAATACAATTATTAATGTTATGACTTAAGCCTGCCATTTTATATTTTGTTTTCTGATTATTCTCTCAGTTTTTCATTTCTGTTTTCTTTTCCCTATCTTCCTATGGGTTATAATAAATCTATGCTATTTTTGAATGTAGCTCTATGTACAGCTTTTTTGGTGACGTCTCTGGGTATTGTATTATATATAGAAAACCTGTATTTCTACTGACACTATGGAGGGGCAGGAAGGTGGTCTCATAACCAACGGGCAGTGACGGAAGTCCTAACTCTCTACTCGGTCTCCTCCGAACCACTCTGGTCAAGGGACTTCCTTGTTGCAGTGAGGAGTGGGTAGGAATTTTTTCTAGGGTAGGTGAAGGTGACTCATGGGTTTTCTGCAGTGTTTAGCTGGGCTGAAGTGGTTATTGTCTACATGTTTTCTGTCTTCCTAAGTTTCTCCTTTTCTGATCATTTGGCTCGAGAGAGCAGACTTATCCTGTGGCTTTTTTTTTTTTGTCTGAACTTGGTGGTGGTGACTCATGGGTTTTCTGCAGTGTTTAGCTGGGCGGAAGCGGTTATTGTCTACATGTTTTCTGTCTTCCTAAGTTTCTCCTTTTCTGATCATTTGGCTCGAGGCAGCAGACTTATCCTGTGGCTTTTTTTTTTTTTTGTCTGAACTTGGTGGTGGTTCTGGGTTACCAGTTCATTAAGCTCCAAGTCTGGGATTTATGAGACAAAAAGAAAACCCAGAAAATTAACCATTATGTTGCTCATTGGGCTCTGAGGTTCCTAGCTGGTCTGCCTTCTTTTTTTCATCTTTCAAAACCTTGTGTTTGCTTTATATATATTGTCCAGGATGTGGGATTGTACAAAGCAGATGAAATGGGGAAAAGTATGTTTACTCTTTCTTCTCAGAAGTGAAAGTGTTTTTTCCGTAGCTATTTAGTGAAGAATTTAAAATAATAGAATTTAAAATAATTATTAATAAATAATCAGCACAAGCATTTTGAGAAGACAAAGCATCAGCTAGCCATTATATTCTCAGATGAATATATTTATTATCAGATAAATATATAATCAGTCATTTCAGTTCAGTTGCTCAGTTGTGTCTGACTCTTTGTGACCCCATGGACCCCATGGACCCCATGACCCTAGGCTTCCTTGTCCATACCAACTCCCGGAGCTTGCTCAAACTCATATCCTTTGATTCAGTGATGCTATCCAACCATCTCATCCTCTGTCATCCCCTTCTCCTTCTGCCTTCAATCTTTCCCAGCATCAGGGTCTGTTCTAATGAGTCCGTTCTTCGCATCAGGTAGCCAAAGTATTGGAGTTTCAGCTTCACCAT